CTCCAGGCTGAGCCCCCCCAGCTCCCTCAGCTGCTCCTCATCAATCTTGTGCTCCAGACCCTTCCCCAGCTCTGTTGCCCTTCTCTGGACACCCTCCAGCACCTCAGTGTCTTTCTGGTCATGAGGGGCCCAGAACTGAACCGGGATTTGAGGTGTGGTCTCAGCAGTGCCCGGCACAGGGGGACGGTCACTCCCTGGTCCTGCAGCCACACTGTGGGTGACACAGCCCCGGCTGCCGCTGACACTTGGTGACATTGTCCACTGGCCTGTCTGTGCTTTGCCTCAGTGCTAAGAGACAAAAGCTCTATGAAAGCCTAATGAAGGTGTAATATTTGAACCTTTCATAAAGCACAGGTTGAGTTAAGAAGATGGATCAGTGAGGTGACAGCTTTGACAGGGCGTTATTTTATATTTTTAAAAGCTCCCTGCTCTCATCCCTCACTGTGACCCAGCAGCAGACCTGCTCCTTGATGGGAGGGAGAGCATACATAGATCAGATCCCTATAGCAGGGATTGCAAAATGTATGAAACAACATTAAAAAATGAGCAATGGAATGCCAATACATAATGCATGTACATAGACTTTATTTAAGACAAAGTATATCAACCAAGGAAGTTAATTGTTTTTGTCTGCATTCATCCCTCTATAATGTTATATATTTTGGGGTGAAGAAAAGATAAGGCCACTCTGTAAGAAGTTGCATTAATTCTTTGGTTGACATGTTTTATTAAAAAGAATAAATTCAGTTGCGTTTTTAAAAAGAGAGAGAGAGAGAGAAACTGCCTTTGTTTTTTCTCTTTTTTTTAGACATTTACATATTTCGTGTATAAATATTTTTTCATAAAAACATCCAAATCGAGAGGGTATGCTCCACAACCACTGCACAAAATATATTACAGACATTTATATGGATGGCAGGAAGGGAGACAGAGGGCTGAAAATTTCCAGGCACCCAGTGATTGATGGTGGACGAGGCTTCCCCTGACGCTTTATTGAGTTTCCGATGATTATCTCTCTTGGAGACATTTTTTACGGATGACGGCCGAGCTGTCACAACGGACCATGGGGGAAAAAACCCAACAATAATAACACTTTAATCTCTTTACTGCACTGCTCCCTAGTATCTCAGATTCATCTTCCCTGACGCACGCAGTTCATTATCCTGCTCCTCCCTGGGTAGGAAATGACGACAAATAAATAAATATACATACTCACCCTGTGTGCTTGGAGAAAGGACCCAGGGAAGGAAAGGAGCCAGGGCATTAATTGATCTTCCTGGAGGGACTGCGGTTCATTAGCGGAGATGCTGGGCTCAGACAGCATCAGGTATTCATCACAGTGTTTCTCTCTTCTGAACTTTTCAAATCTTCTGGAAATCTGTCACTGGTTCTTAGGAGGGACCATGGAGATGTCCCTGCGGGCCACCCACTTTCCAGCTCCACTTGCTTTGCCGTGACAAAGTATAAGGTGCTCAGAGCGCTTGGAAGTTCTCCCTGTCCCTGAACCTGGGTTTGCTGAGTTTTGGGTACAGACTCTTTCACCAGGGAGCTGGGCACACTTCCAGGAGCAGGATTTGGCCCACTGGGTGGGTGGTGTTTATTTGTTAGGAGACAGCACACACCAGCCCCACTGTCACTCAGGCTCTGTGGTGAGGCTGGGTGCTGTAGTACTTCCTCTGGGCAACATGTGCCGGTGCCTCGCGACTCTCATAGGGAAGAATTTCTTCCCAGTATCCAATCTTACCCTGCCCTCTTGCAGTTTGAAGCCATTCCCCCTTGTCCTGCCGCTATCTGCCCCTGTAAAAGGTCATTCTCCCTTTTTTTTGCTGGTGACTAGAGCAAAGGACTTAAAATCCAGGTTTTCTGAAGCTTGACCCTTAGACCAGCTACAAGAGAGTATGGGTGCTGCAGACCCTGTGCTGTGCCCTGCCCAGACTCATGGGCTGCTGGGCACTCCCAGGATCAGAAATTTGCTTGAAGGTCAAGCCATAGCAGAGCAGCACTCTCTTCTCTCACAGCTCCAATTCTGTTTGCTGAAATAATTATTTAGATAAGATATGGGGAAAAAATTCTTCCCTGTGAGGGTGGTGAGGCCCTGGCACAGATTGCCCAGAGAAGCTGTGGCTGCCCCATCCCTGGAAGTGTCCAGGTTGGACGGGGGCTTGGAGCAGCCTGTTCTATTGGAAAGTGTCCCTGCCCATGGCTGAGCTTTCACACTTTGTTCCCTCCAGTCCTTGTCACCCGGGAGGACGACTTCAGCAACCGTCTGAACATCCGAGCCAACTTCAAGGGCTGCACAGCTCTGCACTACGCCGTGCTGGCTGACGACTACCTGACAGTCAAACTGCTGCTGGATGCAGGTGAGTTTTGCAGTTGCACCCAGCTCTTGGGCCAGGAGCACTTTTTCTGAGTCAGCCCATCCCAGAGAACTGTCAGGCTCAGACACAGCCCCCGCTGTGTCACTGTCACAATTAGGTGTGATTTACTGTTTGGTTTGATCTCTTTGCTTTTTAGTTTCTGTGTTCCCATTCATCTCCAGTGGTTTTTCTCGTGTACTTTTGTTGGCTGTCCTCATCTTAATCATCGAGTCTTCTGTTTCCTTCTGCAGTTCAATGGCCATAGAATCACAGAGTCCTGGAATGGTTTGGGTTGGAAGGGACCTTAGAGATCATCCCGTAGACAAGGCATGGGATAGGTGCTGGTACCCACATGAAATGGTGGAGGCTTAAGTACTGTTGGTGCCTGGGCAGCTCTTGTGAGAATAGGTAGGAATTACCTTGTGCAGTTATTGGTCCTCACAGTTAAATCACAAAGCCCTTCCCCTCGTGGATCCTGCTTCACTCTCCTCTCTTGGGTACTCACCTGGGCGGCCTGTTCAATGCTTGACTGTCTTTGTGGGGAAAAAGCTCATCAGCACTGGTGGAGTAGAATAAGAAGATGCATTTAGCTAACAGAATAGAGATGTGCTGCCGTGACAGCTGTTTTTATATGTATCCTCCTGCAGCTCCTTCCCGGGATGACATTTGTGACTGTTCTCCAGAGCTGCTGTCTGCCTAGCGTGTACCTGCACCGTCTCAGTGCTCTTACCTTGGCACATTGTTCCTCAGACCACCAAGCTGGTCTATAGTTCTGCTTTCCTCCAGACTCAATGGCCTTTTTCCCCATCATTCCTCCTGCTCCAACAATTTCAACTTCTCCCCTCCCTGCAAAGGCCATCAAGGCCAGCTCAGAATGAGCCTGATGCAGCAGTGCTGTGTCTGCTCTCAGGTGCCTGCTGCCAGGGGCAGCATCAAGTGGCCACAGCCCCAGCCTGGCCCTGCCAGAGACAGACTCCCTAGAGTCTGGCTGGCCAGATGCTGATTTTTGCAAAAATCCGAGGAGTGTTGTCATCTGCATGGTGTGGGCATCTCAGGAGTTAATTCTGGGTGGATAATGGTATGACATGCTCACATAAGGCTCATTCCTTAAGAAAGCAACTAAAAAGATAATGGAAAGTAGCATCTGTGATGGCTAAACATCCCCAGAAGGGATAAGAAAAAGTAATTGTGGGAACATTGAACCTTGATACTCATCTGTATTATATGCTTGTTATCTTTCACAAAGAGTAGAAATAGAAAAATACGAGTGAAAGGCTGAGGTTCGGTAGCACTGAACTCCAGGTCAGGGTTTCTCTGGGAGCCTACCAGATACCAGAACCCCAGCTCCTGGCCATAAATTAACCCAAAAACAAAGCCACTGAAAGAAAACCTATTACAAAGGCAGGGTTCCTCAGGGATGTTTGCAGGGAAGGGAGGTGGAACAGCAGGCAGCTACTCTGAAAACTGTGGGAGTGTGTGGATGTGGCGGCTGGTAAATGTTCAGATGAAAACATTGGCCCATGTGGCATCCAGAACACTTGTCTGACATGGAAGAGCCCTTCCATGTTCCCAGCACGTGTAGGCACTGCATGAACACGGAACCCAGCAGGGTCCCAGAGCATCAGACTCACTGCACGTCTGTGGCACAGGCCAGTGGCACGTGTTCAGCTGTTGCTTGGCCTGGGCACTGGCAGTCAGAAGGAACTGCTCTAGCAAGACCCCTGGGATCCCACAGTTGTGGGCAGAGGTGCCCACAGGAGGAGTGGAGTGGGCTTTACCTGCTGGAGCAGGGGGTTGTGAATGCACAGACCTGGGGAGTGCAGGGGACTCTGGGGTGTTACAGAGAGTGGCAGTAGGGTTGAAGGGCTGGAAAAGTCCATGTCCTGGCAGTGCTGGGAACAGATCTGTGTAGAGAGTCTGTGGTTCTTGAGGCTGGGAAGTGTTTCCCATGTGGCATGGCATGAATCATAAAATCACAGAATGGTTTGGGCTGAACCCCCCCGCTCTCCCAGCCTGGCTCCAGAGCAGAGGGGCTCCAGCCCCCCCGAGAATCTCCGTGACCTCCTCTGGACTTGCTCCAGCAGCTCCACATCCTTCTGATGTTGGTGCCCCAGAGCTGGAGGCAGCTCTGCAGGTAGGGTCTGACCAGAGCAGAACAGAGGGGCAGAATCACTTGGAATAACATCTTCTACAAAAATAGCTCCTCATTTCTGCCTTGGAAAGTCTCCTTGCACAACGTGTGTATTACCAGTTCATTGAAAGTACCAAGGCAGCTCCATGGTTATAGGAAGTACAGGTAAAATAGGGGTGGAAGTAAGTGAAGGTGGCACTAAAAAATTTCTCCATCCTGAATGAATCAATGCAAGGAGTAAGTCCAGCTTATTTCTCCAGCTGTGCCCTGCTCAGCTCCCCAAGTGCTATTCCAATCCAAGCCTCACTTCACAGAGAGGACTGTTCTTTTTGTTCCAGAGCTGTCTCTGTGTCTGTCCTGGAGCCACTGCCATCCCTGTGAATGTTCCCTTCTGTGCCCAGTGCTCACAGAGAGTTCTTTGTTTGTGGCAAAGTATCTCAGCTCGAAAGAACTCACTTGAATCTTGGGAAAAAAAGCATTTAACAGTCTGTGAGGCTGTGTTTGTTTGGGTACAACTGGAGGGATTGTTTAAAATCAAAGTGAAAACTCAGAATTTAGCCAGAAAATGTGATGGTCACTCATCACTGTTCCATTCTTAATCCAGCCCCGTGGAAATCCTTCTGGATCAGGTTCAAGAGTCTACACTAAGGGTTTGTTTCCAAGTGGAAATCCTCATCTTGTAGAGACATGAGCATGTCCTGGTGCTTAGATCCTGGGGACAGCAATCCACCAGTGGGAATCTCCATCCAGTGATGGAGCCCTGGTAGCATCCTGGGGCTGAGTTTACAGCATTCCTCAGATTAATCCTGGTTCACCATCCACAATACCCACTTACCCGTTGCAGCCATGATTAGGATGAGGATTTATGAGGATTATTTGCTAAATGTAATAAGCCTCCCCTTTCTGTCAGGTGGACTCTGAGCTGCTGGGCTGACAGCAGACCCTTCCCTGCCCTTTCAGCAAGTTTTGGATGCTGGAGTTCCCAATGGGCACGTGACATGAGGATTTCATGGCATTGACTGGGGGTGTTGCCCTCCTCCCAGTTCCGTGGGATAACAAAGCGGGGTATCCCTGCCTCCTTGTCAGTGTAATCTGGGATGAATACACGGCCGAGGGTCTCGGTGTGGAGATCGAACACGGCTCAGCCCTTTGTGAGGGTAATGTCCCTGTGCTGCCATTGACACTCATGCACAGGATGGTTCCTGGTTGCTGACATGGAACAGGCTCCTCTTGCTCCCTCTCTACACCTGCCTTTTACTAACTCTCCATTTACTCTCCCTCACACTTCCCTCGCTGGTGCCCTGCCCTCGGGCCAAAGCCATTAACCGCCCAGCCCCTCTCTGCTCCCATCTCCCCCGCCCCGCTGTTGTTTTTTAAGGGAAGCCCCCATGCACTTGCCCCTCACCCCACGTCCCTGGCCTTTTGTGGCCCATTCAGTGACTCGCTTGACCCCTCCAGGACCTTACTGCCCTGTGGTCAGCATGTGTGTGCCCAGCAGACCGCGAGACGAAGTGGCGGCTCTGTTGTCCTTTTGGGCAGTTGTTGGTGACATTTCACAGTCCCTTGATCTGAGGTGACACCATAAATATCGGTGTTTAGGGAAGGGGTGGGTGGGCACTCACAGCCACAGAGTGCACCAGTTGCTACTGCAGGCACGATCGATTCCAGGGGCTTTGTGTTTGGCTTGGAGGAAGGCAGGCAGGGTCGCCAGCTCGCTGGTGACAGGAGTCTCCTCATTTTAGAGGGAGCTTTTATTATGTCAGTATTTAAATTAAATAGCCAGCATTAAAAGATGCTGCTTTCTGCTGGCAGTGGGGTAACCCTGCCATGGAGCCAAGCCACCATCAACCACCTTTCTACATCTGGTTCTGCTCCAGAACCTGTTGCTGAAATGCAGAGAGCTGGAGGAGCACAGACAGGCACTGATTCGTGGGTCCAGAACAGACCAGAACCATGGAGATGCTCCGAGGACTGGAGACCCTCTGCTCTGGGACAGGCTGAGAGAGCTCGGGGTGTTCACCTGGAGGAGGCTCCAGGGAGATCTTAAAGCCCCTTCCAGTGCCTGAAGGGGCTCCAAGAGAGCTGGAGAGGGACTTGGGACAAGGACCTGGAGGGACAGGACAAGGGGGAATGGCTTTCCAATGCCAGAGGTCAGGGTTAGGTGGGATATTGGGAAGGAATTCTTCCCTGCGAGGGTGGGGAGGCCCTGACACAGGTTACCCAGAGAAGCTGTGGCTGCCCCATCCCTGGAAATGTTCAAAGCCAGGTTGGACAGGGCTTGGAGGAACCTGGGCTAGTGGGAGGTGTCCCTGCCCATGGCAGAGGATGTGGAGTGAGATGGGCTTTAAGGTCCCTTCAGCCCAAACAATCCTGTGATTCTGTGATTTAGACCTAGGGACAACACTGCTGCTGCTGAGGGGTTTACCCTGCAGGTAAATGACCCTCCTCCCGGCATGGGATGCCGTTCACCTTTCACCGGCTTGTGCTGCCATGAGCTGTGGTAACCTTTCAGTAAATTACAGTTCCAGTAAACAGAGCACAGAAGAGGATGCTGCAGGAACTGTGAGCACTTCCTCCTGTACACCTCCGAGAAACTGGGCACAGCAACAAGTGTAGAAACAGGGTTTCCCTGGTGCTTAGCAGCTCAGCTGTCATTTTTCTTGGATCTCAAATTGCTTTTCCAAGTGCTTTTCCACAGTGTGTTTGGTGTGTGTGTCCGTGCAGCAAGGGCTTGGCTGAGCTGTCACCTGCTGACGGGTGGAAGTGCTGTTTTCACACCATTGTGTGGCAGTGCACTACTCTGCTGCTGCACATAGGTGGGTGGGGGCTTGCATTTCGTATCCTTGCCTTGTAGTAGAGCATTTCCCTCCTTCAGAGACTGACCCATGCCTTTTGTCGGGACCTCTCCTCTCTCTATCCCACAGCAGAAACAGACACATCCCCTCCTGCCAAACCTGAGCAGGCTCCGTATGTGCTCCATTCTCCCCAGTGCTCTCGGCATCCCTGACTGCCCTGGGTTCTACTTCCCATCATCAGAAATCATCCCCTTTGCTTCCAGCTCCTCCTAGAGCCAGCACACAGGCTGACCAGGCTGTTACTGCATGGGAAGTGCCTCCTGCAATACACCCTCAGTGGAATCACAAATTCACAGGGCTGGAAGGGGCCTTAAAGCTCATCTAATTCCATCCCCCTGCCCCGGGCAGGGACACCTTCCACTAGCCCAGGGTGCTCCAGGCCCTGTCAAATGTGGCCTTGAACACATTCAGGGATGGGGCAGCCACAGCTTCTCTGGGTAACCTGTGCCAGGGCCTCACCACCCTCACAGGGAAGAATTTCTTCTCATTATTCAATCTAACACTGCCCTCTGTCAGTGGGAAGCCATTCCCCTTTGCCTTATAAGTCCATGCCCTTGTCCAAAGGCTCACTTCAGCTCTCTTGGAGCCCCTCATCTCTAATGAGAGGGGAAAGAGAGAGAGGAAGGACAGAACATATATTTGTGAAAACTTACTAGCTGAAGCAGCAATAACCCAGTTATAATAATCTATATATAATAATCCAGGTTATAATAATATAATCCAGGTTATAATAGTCCTGGACTGTATTTGCTGGTAAATTTAGCCCAGTGCATTTGCTGGTGATGCTGCACACTCCTCTCCTCAGTCCAGTGTAATTGCAGATCTTGTGAGTAGGATGAGTGGTGGTAAACGAATTACAGAGCCAGTGTTGCAGGGGGTGGGCTTTGGACATCAGAAAGCGAAAGTGCTCTTGGTGTTCTCTGGAAAAACAGGTTCTAATTAATGCTGTCTTTTTCAGTTTTGAGTTCAGCATAATGTGTCTTGGAGCGTTTTCAGTTGCATCCCAGGTGGAAAGGGTCCATCCTTCCAGAGGGAGGGTAAAGGATATTCCTAGGGAGCAACAGGCTTCTGGGTCCTCAGCAACCGGTTACTGGTTTTAACACATCCTGAGAAGGTGACATCACAGTTTTACTGCACTCCTGGATTAAGCAGGAGCCCAGGGCAGAACTCCTCTCTCCTTACAGCTGCCTGACAGGAGGATGTAGCCAGGTGGAGGTCAGGTTCTGCTCCCAGGCAACCAGGGACAAGACAAGAGGAAACAGCCTCAAGTTGTGCCACAGACAGTTTAGATTGGATATTGGGAAAATTTCTTCCCAGAAAGGGTTGTCCTGCCCTGGCACAGCTGCCCAGGGCAGTGGATGAGTCCCCATCCCTGGAGGGGTATAACAAACGTGTGCATGTGTCACTTGGGGACATGGGTTAGCAGTGGCCTTGGCAGTGCTGGGGGAATGGTTGAACTCGATGTTCTCAGAGGGCTTTTCCAACCCAAACAATTCCTTGATTCTATTCTATGACTCTGTGACTCAGGCTCTGCAAACCACACGGTGCAGAGTGAAGCTCTGCACAACCTGGGTGGCTTCCTCCCATTTTTCCTTTAGAGCAGCTAGGAAAACGTTTCACTTCCAAGCAGGTCACAGCACACAAATGCAGCCGCTGTGGCTGCAGCTGTCCCTGGGAATGCAAGTCCCAGCAGCTGGCTGGGCTGGTTTTTGGGGAGTCACAGGCGTGGTAGCTGCCCTGAGTGGTCTGTCCTGGAGGTTTGCTCCCAGACGTTTGCTACCCAGGCCAGCTGTCGTGCCAGAGTGCCTGACATCCACTCTCCCTCTCCATGCTCATATTTACAAGGGAATGTGATAAATTCCGTATTGATTCCTTCTGTTGCACTGTAAATTTTGCAAAAGATGATTAAATAGTGCAATAGAGTCTGCGAGCGCCGAGGCTCAATATGTTCTGGGCCGGTGTATCGACCCTCCGGCCGACCGCAGCCAGTTCCACTCCCCGCCACACCAGACCAGTAATTAAAATCCTATGAGACTGGGATTTAGAAACCAATCATATCCCAGCATCGAGGCATCCAGCATCCCACCGTGGTGAGAGCAATAAGAGTCCAAGTAGCAGCGCATTTCTGTCTGTGTCAGAGCGCTTAGGAATAGTTTCCCCTTAGGGCAGGGGAGCAAATAAATCCCTCTCAAAATATTTCTGGGGACAAACGTGACAGTGACATCATGTTTGGCATGAACTTAAGAGCTCTGCACATGTGTGGGTATATGGAGAAAGGATGATGGATATCATCCTGGCGTGCTGAGGAGCAGGAGCTCTCACAGTATCTGGTTGTACTGTGAAACAAGGTCCTCAAGACTCCTTATCTCGGTGCCCAGGGCCTTCCCAAGCTATGCTCTGTCCGTTCTTGGAGCAGTGTCACTCTCTGGTTGTCCATGTGAGTCACCAATGCCACTGTGTGCCCCATCCTGTCTGTCTGCAGTGTGAGCCTTGTTCTGGCTGCAGTAGGCTCTGACCTGCTGCTCTTCTACCCTGGCGGGATGGAGAGACAGGAACAGGGTCCCCGGGCTGCTGAGGACACAGGGAGCATTGCTGGGATGCTCCTCCAAGTCCTCTGTGAGCCCTTGGCATCCTCCTTTTTCTCCTGCCACCTCTCCCTCCTCTGGTCACCCCCCCCATCACGACAGCAGCAGAGGACCCAGGTACCAGCGCCCGCTGCATCGCCAGCTCTATTGACAGTTATCCAGAATCTGAAGGAATTCAAGACAAATTGTTAAGAGGATGGAGTTAATAAAATTTGAAAAATTGAGGCCTGTCACTCCACTAAACTTTTTTCGATCCTGCTGACAGGAACATATTTCCCCAATGAGTGACCTTCTGCAGCTGCTGCAGCGTGGCAGCGCCGGGCGGGTGCAGAGAGGGAACCCCCACGCTATTTATCAAATATTATCAGCCAGGGCCTCCTAATATGAGCAGGGAGGGGTGGGAGGAGGCGACGGGCTCGCACAGCCCGAGGTGCTGCCCAGGTGTCCATCTCCAGCCACAGACAGCGAGTGGGAGGTGACAAATTGCCTTCTATTAAGTCTCGGAAGGTTGGCGTCCCCTCAGCCGCTGCTGCAGCCGGCCACAGGGTGGGAGAGGGCAAGGGAGGAGGTGGGGATAGGGGAGAGGGGTCAGCCGGGGCGCCAATGGACTGGTGGCCACTCTTACCTTCTATTAGCAAGCCAAGTGACACTGTTATTTATGGCAGCATAATATTTTATTGCTGCCGGTACTCGAGGTTGGAATCGACCAGTTATAGGAGTCGGGTTCTATCAATTATTGCAGCAATTAGTCAAGTCGTCAAAGCCATTAACAGGGGGATTAGGCCAATATTGGAGAGCCATTATTGATAGATCCAGGGGAAAGCCAAACAAACCCTCCATCGGAAACAAGAGCAGGCCTAGCCTCAAGGATGTCATAATTTGGAGCAGCCAGGAACGTGCCCCCTGCTTGCTGCACAGACCTGGGTGGGTTTTGGGGAGGGGGAGGATCAGGGGAGCACTGTCTCTTTAACAGATATTGAGTGGACGGCCCCGGCAGTGGGGTTTATTACAATCTCACCTGTCTCAATCATATTCTTTATTTGGGAAGACAAGGCTTGCCATAGAAATTACTCTGTGTCGAATGTTTATGGAGCACATTTTTCATTCTGTAAGCAAATATAGATCCCTGATGCCAATGCCTAGGAATGGCTAATCTCTGCGGCTCCGCTCCCACTGACTCCCCTCACTTGTTCATCTGTTCTGGTTGCTGCTCGCTGATATTGAGCTCTCCTGGTGCTCTACACTCTCCCAAGGCCCAGGAGCAGCTTGGTTTGCCTGTACCAAGGTACTCGGCTTGCTCCCGTGGTTCCAGCAGGATCAGAGTATGGTTCAGGTTGGAAGGGACTGCCAGTGGGGTCATCTGGGCCAATCTCCCTGCACAAGGAGGAGTGAATTGCACAGGATTGCAATTCCACCCCACAGGATTGGGGTGGAAGACATCCCGGACCTGCTGAGCGCAGTTATGGTCTCTTCCCCCACCAGGCTGTTTCCCAAGGCTTGATAACTGGTGGGATGATCAGTTCCTGCACTGGTTTGGGGGGTTTGAGGCTGATTTGAAAGTTCATTCTCATAACTCTTGATGTTAGGAGTTGTCATGGGATCACAGAGTGTTAGTGCTGAGCTTCTGCCTTAGAGAAAACTCCTGAGATGCTGAGAGTCAGAGATGAGTCCCAAGACTTTGCTTGCCCCTCTAGCTATTCCACAGTACCCCCCTCTCCTGATCTCACCGAGATTCCCTCCATATGCAACCGGGACCAGTTTGGGAATGAGTGCTCTGCCACAGTCCACGTTATCTGGGATGGGGAGCTCTCTCCATGCAAGTGTGTTTCTGTGGCGTGCCCATCTAACCTCAGTCTTTGGGGGGTTTTGACTTTTTTTTTTTTAATGAAACTCTAAAGAAGGGCGTGATTTCCCCCTAGAAGTGCTCCTGGGGCTCGGAGGGGCAGCTGGTCCACAGGCTCCAGCTTCAGCTCCAGCTTGCATGGGCAGCGTGTCCAATTGGAGCTGTAACGGTCCCGGGTGGCTCTCACAGGACTGGGAGTGGGTGCTTTTGTGAGACTGTATTTCCTTCTGGTGACCATGTGCTCTCTCATTCCCCCTGGCAAGCCAATTGTTAGCAGTGACAATCCCTTTTCTTCCTCCCCGGACGCCCGTGCTTGTAACCACTGGTTGTACATTGTCCCTTTCTGATCCAGACACCCTCCAGAGCAAAGGTTAGGAGCGGAAATGGGCAGGATGTGCTTCCTGCTCCTTCTGCCCCAAGACTGAACTCTGAGCCCCTGATCTTATTCATTTCTTGTGCCATCAGGTGCCAGCCCCCTGCAGAAGAATGAAATGGGACACACCCCCCTGGATTACGCCCGTGAAGGGGAGGTCATGAACCTTCTGAGAGCGTCAGAGGCGAAGGTGAGCCTGAGACTCCAGCCAATTTGGGTTTCCTTTCCCACTACAAGAACAGTTTTAAAGAAGATGTATATAACAGTTGTGGGGATGTGGCCCTTGGGGACATGGGTCAGTGGTGGCCTTGGCAGTGCTGGGTGAGCACTTTGACTTGATGATGTGAAAAGTCTTTTCCAACCCAAATCATTGTATGATTTTATGGTGCAAGTGATGGAGGAGCACCTTAGCACCCCTAGAGGTCCATCCTTTTCCAAAAGAGGTCTGTAAAAATTAACAACATGATGTATAAAGAAAAAAACCCCTTCTGAAGTATTTTAGCTGTGTCCGTGGCTATGCCTTTCTCTTCCAGCTTTCCATTTCTCACTCACCAGTGACCTACCCAGGTCCAGTAATCCCATTCTACTCTGTAACCCCTTGGCCAAAATGCAGTAAAATCCAGGGCCTGTTTTTACTGTATTTTCTGAAATTCCTGGTCAGACAACCAGAGCTGCCAATCCTTAGACTTGTGGCCTGGGATCCAGGTGTTCATGAACACCAGTCTAAGGCAAACTTGTGGGTTTAAAGAAAGGTTAAAATGAGATTTCACTTCCCCCAACTCCACATAGAGGGCTATGTGCAGATTAACCAACAGCCACTTTGCAAATAACCGAAAGAGACATTTTTGTCATCAAATGTGTTTAAACCAGCAACCTCATGATGTTCAGGATGGAAAAAGAAGCGAGACACAGGTGGATGCTTGTTTTCTTGGAAAGGTCCATCCTGTTGGTGGGATGAAGTGGACACCAGCTCCAGGTTAGGAGGTCTCACACCACTGCTTCCAGAAGGGGGCCAAGGAGAGGGCAACTATGTGCTCATTCTGGCTGAAATATTCCTTAAAAATCCTTCAGCAAACACAGTTGGAGACAGGGGAGGATACCAGATGGGTCTGACAGAGGTAAAGAGGACCTGAATGGCAAAGACAGACTTGTAAGAACCCAGCTCAGTCCTGGGGCTGCTTCCCCTCCAATGACAGAGGGCTTCTCTCTCCCTTTTAGCCCTGGATACATGAGAGCATATTTAAATTTCTCCAGACTGTTTAGCACTGGGAACTAGCTCAAGAGCCCTCAACACCAGGCAAGTGTGCTCTAAGCCCAGGAAAAGCACACACAGAGTTCTGGGGGTTTTTTTACGGAATAAAGGAAATCAAAATAAATTAAAAATACATATGAAAACTCCTTGTTATTCTGTCACAAGGATATGTAAATAAAATCTATGGGACGTGTCCACCCCGTAATAGTTCTGCCTATTCATTCTCTAGCAGTGATTAAAATGAGCAATAAATTCTCAAAGACTCTCGGTGGAACGCGGCTGCCGGGGAGGATGAAACCCCGGGAGCACCAGATCCCCCCCAGCTCAATATTCATCACGGGCTGGCTTGGCTGTCTGGTGGTTTATATACAAGTACAATCATCTTCCTCGGGAACAGCTCCAGAGATATATTTCCTTTCTCTCTTCCAGCTATTAGTTAAGCATAAAAACCAAGGCAAGTTTCAAACTGTTCGGGGCAGGTTTCCTCACCAGCACTGGGCTCCAGAGAGCATTTACCCAGCAGACAACTCTCCCCCTCCTGCTCCTAAAGAGTTCAAGTATTTTATTCTCAACTTTTCTTCCTTAAAACAACATGTGCTGGAAGCCCAGAAACCCCCCATGCCCTGGGCTGATCCCCTGCAGTGTGGGCAGCAGGTCCCATCTCTGTGGTCCTTTCTGGACTCGTTTGAGCAGCTCCACGTCCTTCTGGTGTTGGGATCTCCAGAGCTGGAGGCAGCACTGCAGGTGGGGTCTCACCTGAGCAAAGCAGAGGGGCAGAATCTCCCCCCTCACCCTACTGCCTGCACTGCTGGGGATGCAGCAGGACTAGGTTTGTCCTCTTGCCTCTGGAAGCTCCCTGCATCATAAGACCTGCTCCCACTTGGAGATTCTGCCAATATCCTGTCCCCGAGCATCTCCGAGATGTGCTCGTGTCCAGTGTCTCTGTAAGCTGCTCTACACATGCTCAGCCTTCAGCTCTAGAAAATGGAAGCTTCTGGGTGGAAGCAATCCGTAGGTCTCTCCATAAGAGAGCTCTGAAGGGCTCAGCTTCCTTGTGAGCTGGAGGTGGAAGGAAGCCAATGTCCCGAGGAAGGAGCTTTTTCCGGGGCTGTCCTGCATGCTGCCGTGGGTTTGTCTGCAAAGCAGCAGTGTCTGGTGTCCCCAGCAAGGCACAGTGACACTCTGCCATCCCAGCAGGATCTGGTTGGAGTCTTTGAACAAGAGATGTGTGGAGTGGGAAAAACCAATCTAGGTAGAATAGTCATGGCTTTATTTCCCAAAATAAGCAGCTCCTAATGGTTAAGAGCTGATGAGCAGTGCCATTGTTCCCTCCACACTAGTACACTAGTACAGAGGCAGAACAGGGTCTGGTTTCCCATCAGCTGCAGAGTGGGATCCCCATTCCCACTCATCCCAGCCTCCATCCCCAGCAGATCCAGAAATTTCCTCTCTCTTGGGCTGGTGCTTCCAGACAGCTGCATCTGCCCTGGGATGCTGCTTGCCTGCACTGGGAGTGGAGCTCTGGTTCTGTGTCGGAGACATGGAATGTTTCTGTGCAGGACTCTGATGCCCTGGGGTGGGGAAACTGTGTGCTGACCCAGTGCTCCACACAGCCTCTGATCCCTATGTTTTCTTCCCTCCACAGTTCCAGGAGGAGCAGCGCAGGAGGGAGATAGAGGAACGGCGAAGGTTCCCGCTGGAGCAGCGGCTCAAAGAGCACATCATCGGTCAGGAGAGCGCCATAGCCACAGTGGGGGCAGGTAGGACCCTCCACTTGCCACCTGCTCTGCCCTCCCACACCAACTCCACAGGGGAGACGAGCTGTTCCCCAAAGCCATGATCTGAGGCTGTCTCCGGGCAGGTCCCCAAGGCTGGGGGGGGACTCACAGTGGCTTCCCCATCCCTGGAAGTGTTCAAAGCCAGGTTAAACAGGGCTTGGAGCAACCTGGTCTAGTGCAGGGTGTCCCTGTCCATGGCAGGGAGCTGGAACTGGATGAGCTTAAAGCTCCCTCCCAACCCAAACCATTCTGTGATTCCATAAAACCAAGGCTCCAGCAGGCTGAGCTGGGTTTGTTTTGCCAGTCCCAGGTCTTTGGATTCTGTCAGTAATTCCTGAGTCATCTGTGCATCCCAGTTAATGCCTGAAAACAGGACAGCGAAATAAGAGCTGTTGAGGCCAGGGCAGAAGCACAAGGAACATGCTGTCAGAAACACAAACCCATTGCCTTGAGTTAACAAAGAGGAGCCCGTTGTGAGCTGGGAGCCAGGAAGGAGCCGGGAAGGAGGTGGGAAGGAGCCTGTGCTCCGGCAAAGACAACAGCCACCCTGTGTGTTCAGAGAGCGGCTGTGCCTGAGGGCAGCATCCCCAGCTAATTGGGGAGCTGTGATTAATGGGCAGTGCCTGTTCCTGACACAGGTGGTGTTTCTGTGCATTAACGTCCCTTCCTTTATGGAGGTTTTTCTTATTGAATTATAGGGAATGTGCTTGATACCCCCGCAGCCTCGGGATATCGGACCAAAAGGTAGCAGGAGACTCTCTGCCCCCTCCTCCCCCCTTCCCTTCTGCCCTGTTTTTGTAATTTTCTTTCCAGAAGGATGAATTTCGAGACAGGACTCTTTCTCTCAAGCGCTTCCTCGCTATTTTTGTTACTTATTTTCTTCTCAGCTGGTTTTCCTGCCACTTTGTAGACCCTCCATCCCTCCACTCTGCCCTTGCCACTGCTGTTTGCTGGCGAGCAGACCTGCCACACGCCACATCCTCGGATCCACCGCGCCTGGCTGATATGTTTAATTTATAACTGCTGCCTTAATTGAATAATTGGATTTAATCCGTCACTCGGTGCATGATCCAAACAGTCTCCAGAGGAGCTTAGCCAGGAATACAAAGGGAACGTGCGCTCTGGGGTTAGCAGCGCAGGTCTGGGGCAGTGGGGATGGAATGGAATCACAGAATTATGGAATCATTTAGGTTGGAAAAGCCCTCTAAGATCGTCAAGTCCAGCTGTTATCCCAGCAACCTAGTGCAGGGGGATGCACTGGGAATGCTGGTGGGAAGCTCACCGCAGCCACGGTCCTGACAGCTTGACGTGGCTGCTACAGAGGGAAAACCCTTCCCTGTTTTCTCTGTGGGATAGATCCAAGCCCTGCAGCACTCTTTTCTGCTGTGTGCAGCAGGACAGGCCTGGGAGAAGGTGGATGGTGGTTAACCGATGGTTACTGGGCGTCTCCAAGGACACAGGGTTCCTCCAAGTGCCCCACTGGGTGATGGTGGGAGGCAGCTCAGTCACCCCCCTCAGCGGGTGTAGGTGTGTGGTTCATCTTAACAAAATCCCCAGAACAAATTAACAAAATTAAATATTCCATCTCCTGACGTCAGAAACAGGCAGGTTGCTGCTGCCATCCCAGGAGCTGCTGGGATGCTCCGACCGGTCCATGCAAATGAGCAGCTAAAAGGCTTGGGATTGTGTTTCCAGGCACTTCCATAAGTGACTGTGCTCTGGGTCTGGTTGGGCTCATTTGCCTTTTCTCTGGAAGATGCAAGGGCAGGAGGGATCAGCAGCATCTCCTCTCTGAGGTTATAAACCAAAGGAGGCATTTTTTCCAAGTATATATGTGTGTATTTTTGGAGGGTCTAATATCCTAAATAT